ATACATATCATTGTTTATCGTATATTTTTCTCTTTTCTTTTCATCAAGATTATCGATGTATGACTTTAATCTTGAAATAAATACCTCCATTTGATTTAAATTCGATAAATAAGAAAAGAAAAGAAACAGTCTTCGAAATTAATTAATTCAATGAAATCGCCATAACAGAATCGTTTAATCTTCGTTTCTTAGAGATAAACGTCTTAGATGGAAATTAAATTAAAAAAAAAATCAAGAAACGATCACGACATCTTGATTTTACTTCAGAATTGTTTTCGTTCAAATGGGAATATGAGATTTTTTTCTCAGACCTAATGATTTCTTTTTAGATTATTTTGCAATTACAAAGATAATAATATCTATTTTGAGTGTCGGTGACAAATCAGCAGAATCCATTCATTCCGTCAGATAAAAATTGAAAATATCTCGAATTAAATTTGAAGTCAACGATTGTTCTCTCTTTTTTTTTCTATTATTTTTCGTTTCATTATCGAAATGTTGATTTTTCTATTTCTATTAAATTTATTTCTCTTTTTTTTTCGCGCATTCCAATCTCAACTAAATTCTCATGTCAACTGTGACATATATCTAAACAAGGAACTTTCTTATTGGATGAAATGAGTGGTATTGATCATAGACAGTTTCGTAGAACATCTTTTTACTATAGAAACAAATTTTTAAACATATTCTTTAACAATGAAAATTTCATTATACAAATTGAGTCAGGACTTCTGGACCACCCTTTATGTATTCAAACGACTGAAAGTTTGTGCTTATTTATCTGTCGTTAGAACACTCTGATGTAGGATAGAATGCTAACGAGAAGAAAAAACAGAGGACACATGGTGTATGTTTTACTGCCTAACAGAAAAAGTATTTTTCTACTAACGATCTTGATCAAAGATACTGACATTCACCATTAGATTCGATTGACTTCAAACGTTCAAATTCAAACTGAATTAGCAGTTTTCGTCAATCGAAAGTTTCGATCAGTGAATATCATTTCGTGAGCAAATACAGTGCGAAGATATTTGGAAAGATATGAGAGAAAAACAGTATTCGAGTATGTTGAGAAAAGCATCTAGCTAAGGCCTAATATAGAGCACAGAACGTAGTTTAATCCTTTTCTATTTACTAAACAGAAACAGGAAAACTGGTTAAAGTGTCACTTATTATTTGGACGACAGATGATCGTTTGATTAGGTTTGTTTTCACAAACCTTTTTTTCTGACACAATTTTCACTGACAGATGCGAATGATGTTTATAGGATTTTTTTATCGTTATCATCGCTTGATGTTTGATCATTACCAATGACTTTTTCGAGTGTATCGGTCGATCTGTACCATGTTCAATAACCTTTAGTTTGTTCGTCATATTTCGATTAATTGATTGTCAAGAATAGAAATGCAGCCATCGTTGGATGTGATAAGATTAAATCGACTCTATTTCTAAAAAAGGAAACAGATCTTGTATGATTTTTTTATTCTTTCATCTAAATTCAATAGTAGAAAACTTGTTGTTTGAACGGATGTTTTTCTTTCATTTAACATCGCATTTGCTGCAAACATTTCAAAATTTTCATTATTGTCCTTTCGAAAAAGTACGTCAAATATAAACTCGATTTCAACGCTTGTCTTCGAAGTTGTGAAATGACAAGAGATGAGAGATCACATCTGTTTGTATTTTTTCCTCGACTAACTTCAACCAAAAGGAAAAACCATCGGTTTTCTTGTTATTTAACTGTGCAGTGAATGTTGCTCCACAGATTTGTAAAACACTTTCATTTCAACATGCATTTGTCAAGAACTATTGTTCGGTATTTCGGTCACAGTAAGCGATGTAGGAAAGTTTTGGAAGAATTAATGATTATTACAATTCAATGAGAACAGTAACGAGGAAATCAACAGAAAAGCTAAGAAGATTTTAGAGAGAAAGGAAGTTGAGAGTCATTGATGAGACGAAAGGTAATGATAAGTGTTGATAGATCAACCCACGTTCGTTTCTATGTTTGGAGCAAGACTAATGTGAATAGATTCATTCTCGAGAATAACGCTTGTTCATTTCCAAAGAAGCAAAAATGATAATGATCGAGCTTTAGACTTTTACTGTTAGAGACAGAAAATGGATGAAGATATAGGTACACTAGAGAACACAAATCTTCGGAACTTTTCCTTTGAGTTTACAAGTCGAATTTTTTTGAAGAGGACTTGAAATGTCATCTAATTAATCAAATCACACAATAATATTTGACAATATCTATGAAATCTTCTAGAATATGTTTCACGTAGTTTAGTTGTTGGTAGGGTTGCCAAGTGTACCCATTTGAATTTTTGAGCTTCTAACACCAGAAACTGATTTTCCATAGATATAAGTTGTGTTTTGTGAAACACGATCTGACAGAGAGTGCTGAAGTGTTTAAGGGTAGAAACCTGGACCCACCCCCCCCCCCCCCCCCCCCCCACGCCCCACCCTCACGGAACGGTGCGCGCTGCCCAGCGCCTGCCCGACCTCGGGGGGGGCAGCGCT